GCACACAAATGCTGGAGAAGCTCCCCTTCTTTCAACTTAAGGAAAATGTTGAAGGAAAACCTTAATTTACCTAGAAAAATATTCTATGCAAAGTACTTTGTATATTCTGTATTTTTAGCTACCAACTTGTATTGACTCAGCATCATCATTTGTCTTTTCTTTTCTTTTCTTGTTGCACACAGGGTTCTTTATTGTCAGCTTTGACACAATTTGCCCTCTTAACAAGTGACGAGCAAGCAATATCTGTGGGATTTGTTGGGTATCCTAATGATAATGATATTTTCCGTGAAAATTCCCTAATGGCAAGAACCAACTACGAATCAATTGAGGTATTTAACAGTTAGTAATGATTTTGTCTCATTTTTAGAGAAGGGGAACCAGAAATTAATGATATTTTCTGTGAAAATGCAGGTATGGACCTACTAAACCAATGAAAAAAATAAAAATAAAAACTTGCTGGCAGAATCAAAATTTCATGATCGCTGCTCCACACAAAATTTATTTATTTGTTTTGGAAATGCAAATATCTATGTACTCCCTTAATAGTTTATGAATTTTATATTTACATTAAAAAATTATTATACAATATAAATTACAAAATAAAAATAATTAAATAACAGACGATATACTGAGACCACCTTCTCCGCTAGTCATTTTTATCTTACAATTTAATAAATTTAAACTACAAAATAATAAATTTTATTTATAGAATATTTTATTTTATAATTTAAATTATATTAAATTATTAAATAAAAAACACTTAATATTAAAAGATCAATCCCTATTTTATAATTAATATGATATAATTTAATACAACTTATAATACACTATATTTTTTTCTTAGTTTTATACTGCCACTTAAATTACACTTCTATTTAAATTTTAGAACATTGCACTCATGTCCAGCACTTGGTGATGTATTTGCCACCCCTTGCGAAATGTAGTTGGGACACTCAAGACCTGGGTTTTACTCTCAGATCCGCGTCTCAAAGGAGTTAATTTCAATCTGTATTGGTTGGTACGATCGATACGTATCAATTTTTTGTATTGATCGAAACAGTATAATATAAAAATTCGATTGATTCGATCAAAATCTGATGTGTT